CCACAGGCCTCCCCAGAAGCAGAGCCCCATGTTATGCTTCCTGTACAGCCTGTAGAACTGCGAGCCAACGAAACCTATGTTCTCATAAATTACCCAATCTCAGGTATTTCTTTACAGCAATACACAAACAGCCCAATACAGAGTACACTTCAACTCACTGTGGAAAGCTAACATTCCCCTAAATCAAAACCAGACATTATTACAAACAAGAGAACTGCTTCGTGAACATGCGTAAAAAAATTCAACCAATTTGTGAAGCAACAAAGATACCCTCAAAAAGGTGAGTGCATAAACTGTGGTACAATCATACAATGGAATATTATTAAGAACTAAAAAGAGATCAACTATCAAGCTATGAAAACACATGGGGCCGGGCGCGGTGGCTCACGCCTGTAATTCCAGCACTTTGGGAGGCTTAGGCGGGTGGATCATGAGGTCAGGAGATCGAGACCATCCTGGCTAACATGGTGAAACTCCGTCTCTACTAAAAATACAAAAAATTAGCCAGGCACTGTAGTGGGAGCCTGTAGTCCCAGCTACTTGGGAGGCTGAGGCAGGAGAATGGTGTGAACCTGGGAGGCAGGGTTTACAGTGAGCTGAGATCGTGCCACTACACTCCAGCCTGGGTGACAGAGCAAGATTGCCTGGAAAAGAAAAAAAAAAGAAAAAAAGAAGAGACAAGACATGAAAAGACTTACATGCATTATTTTCAAAAATGATATTAAAAAAAATTATAGATTCTATTTCAGTGTACTTTCACTTGATTGAGACATGTTATCATCCCCCTTGAGACTGTGACTTTAATGGATGCTAAGGAATATCATTTGCTTCTGTGTGCTGTCTGGGGAGTCAGCCTCTGTATGTTTCGGTTATATGTACATTTAGTATGGTGGGTTACCTCAACTGCTAGTTCTCACGGCAGCAACTGGGCATGTGAGAAGGTCCTCGACTTGCTGCAGAAATGAGAAAGTGGAGGTCTCAAGAAGCCTACATCATTTCCCTATCTGTACTTGAGTCAGCAAATTTTGTAATAGGGTGTGCAGTGCAACCTCCTAGCCAACAGATGGTGACCGCAGGTTAGAATATGCTATGGCAGAAGTGGGTAAGAACATGCTTTGTCTTTGTTTTCCCGGTAGGACTCTCTGTTGTCTCAGGTTATCGGCAATTCTGTGTAATGCCCAGTGCCCTGAATTCCCTCCTCAGCTCCAGAAAGAAGGACGAAGTTGGGCAAAACTACACTGACAAGCTGGACAGGACTGACAAAACTGGCCTGATGTTTGTTTGGTTTGTTGTTTGTTTGTTTTTAAGACACAGCCTTGCTCTGTCGCCCAGGCTGGAGTGCAGTGGCATGATCTCAGCTCACTGCAACCGGCGCCTCCTGGGGCCATTCTCCTGCCTCAGCCTCCCAAGTAGCTGGGACCACAGGCGTCCGCCACCACACCCGGCTAATTTTTTATATTTTAAGTAGAGACAGGTTTCACTGTGTTAGCCAGGATGGTCTCAATCTCACAGCCTCGTGATCCGCCTGCCTCAGCCTCCCAAAATGCTTGAATTACAGGCATGAGCCACAGCATGACCATGGCCCTAATGTTTGCATACCTAATAGGGCACAAACACCAGCCAAGACAAGGCTATCAGAAAAGCTCTTAGTGAACTGCAAAGAAGCTCCCAGGAAAGAGAAAAAGCAGCATAAGTTCTCGTCCTGAGTGGTCATGAATGGTTCCGTTTTCCTTATCACAACACCAACCTAAGACTAAGTAAAGAAAGCAGTATGGTTTTCCAAAAAAGCAGTCCCGTCTTCCTCTTCCCAAAAAACACACTGTCTGACATGCCCATTTCACCCATGTGTAAGTTTTAATTAAGTATCAAGGCTCATTTCAGGAATTAATACCAAAAAACACACTGTCTGACAGCTGCCATTCACCCATGTAAGTTTAATTAAATATCAAGGCTCATTTTCTTTCAGGAATTAATATTTTACTATTACTTTCTTTGATTGACTCAACAAATTTATAACAGTTTGTTTTCCAAGATAAATTACTCATCAATAACATTCTTCAAAGATATCTATACTTTTATATCAATGAAATTTATGTATAATCATTTAAAGATGAACTCAACTATTGTGTCAATGAATTATACAGACATGGACTGAAAACATTTTATTTAAAATATTTTCAAAAAACAACTATAATGATGTAGTCTTTTTCTAATGCACCAATATACTGAAAATTTACTTGTGAAATTTTGGATAAATAGATCAGAAATTTAGATAAAAAATAATAGCCATAAGTGACCTAATTGTTCATAAGTAAAAAAAAAAAAAATACAGTCTAGGTTCAAACTATATCAAAAATGTGCAGAATCCCAGGTGACAGAAAGTAAATATTCAACTGTTTTCCTTTATCAACAAAAACACTTAATTTAAAATGTTTTAAGAAAAAAGTAAAAAACACACAAGTTAAATTTGATAAACCACTGCATCATCTAGAGCCCATTTATCATAAGGCATCTATGAATCTCACACATGGCTAACATACACTGGTTATAAGTTATGAGAGTTTCTGAAGTATAAGACACATCACTAAATTATAAACATTTATCATACTCTTTAATTTATCCTGTAATTGAGAAGGTACAGTTGTGATGAGAGTTCAGCTGAATGTAAAACTGATGTCTCATCAATGAAAGTGTTATGAATTCATGAGCGTGGATGTATATTAGGCAATAACAGTAGACAAAACACATTCATTGTGTTCCATACCCATGTGGTGTAATTTTATGCCTACATTTTTTGCATCCTCTCATTTATCCATCTGAATGTTTCTTGATCCACTCACACAAGATAGCATATAAAACTCATTAAGAAAATGATGTATAAAAAGCTTTCAATACTGAAATATTTACTAAAAAACTTGATTGCTAAATATCAATTAGGTATAAACATTTTTATTTTGAAATCAGTATATTTATTTTAAAAAGTTTTAGTATTCAAGTAATAAATTCAGTATTTTATTTTTGTTTCTAAAATTAGTCTGGTTTGACTTATCATGTCAGTCTCCAACAATTTTTCTTTTTCTTTTTTTTTTTTTTTTTTTGAGATGGAATCTGACTCCATTGCCCAGGCTGGGTGCAGTGGCACGAACTCAGCCCCTCCCTGAACATAGGATGTAGGTTGACACCTAGGCCTCTGGTAAACACAGGCCCCCTGTGAATTACTAAGCCCCAGGTAGACACATCAGGCCCCTGGTGGACCCTTTGGCCCCAGGTGAATATCTATGCCCCAGGTGAGCATCAGTCAACAGGTGGATGCCCAAGCCCTTGGTGAACACCAGACAACAAACAAACATCAGGCCCCAGAGAGAAATTTGGCCCATGTGAATACCTAGGTGGCCTGGAG